CAGCGCTAGCCACGAAGCGCGAGCGAGAATTTGTCCCATCCACAATAAGGTGTGGGGATACCCCACGGGAAAACCCAAAGGAGAATCAACATATGGCTAACAAATGTTTATGAAACCGACTTTTCTTATTTTTTTATAATAATAAGAAAATAGACTTTGTCTTTTCTTTTTGTTGGGCATTTAGATGCTATGCTGAATTCAAAATCTTTCAGACATCAGCCAGCTAAGATTCACTCATCAAAGTTCTGTGATGAAATGATATTTCTACCGAAAGGATGAGAAAAAAATTAATTAAATTCTGAATTTAGGATTAACTTTTGTTACAAAATGTTCATGAAAAAAGCAGGTGCAGGTGATTGTGATGAGAGCCAATATGAACTGCAAACATTGCCGAAGGAGGGTTTCTACTATTATATCTAAGATGAACGGTAAGGACCTACCTATAAGCAAAGTAAAAAAGTTGCAATTTTAGTACATTTTTAGAAGCACAACATAAATAAAATAAGACCCACAAATTGAAGAGGTTAATTAATTTGTCTAATCTTACCATTATTAAATATTTGCAGTTGCACACATTTAGTCATATATATTTGCCCCTTTTTTCGTAATTTAGCAGGATTACTGGACTACATGGTGGATATGAAGAAGAAAGAGGTGACACTCAGAGCAGTTGTCGATACAAAACATATTAATAAGAAGAGGCGGAAGACAAAGCAAGATACATTTGATCACACTGACAACAAGAAAAATCCATGCTTTTCAGGATTCTTTAAAACTATGTGTTTAGGAGCATTCTAATGCAATTTAATATGTAAACATGCATACATGTAACTTTACATTGGTTTCAATTAATATACATTAGCCTTAGGCAAATGTACAAATTTTCATAATAAAAGCTAATTAAATGGTGAAGTTGTTGCTCTTCTTCCCTCTTCGTTGTACGGAGATCAACTAATAGGAATAAGAATCCTGTTAGAAGCATCCCTATAAAAATGGACCCCTATAGGAATGGGTGGCTCGCATCATAGATAGAAGAGCTCAAATCCAAATTAACTAACCTCCCAATCACCCAGATCAATCCAAATTAATCTGCACTCGCTGAAAGCAAAGATTTCTCGAAAGTAAGAGATTGTTTGATATTGGAACACATATAGTCTCCATTGGCTTTGAAAAGTATCTACGACTTTTCTAACTTACTAGCAAAACCTTAAAATTACTATTCTTGCCACAGTGAACTCTATTCATTCTACAGTATAATTCAGCATATTAAGCCCTCTCTTCAAGCTCAACACAATATTGAACCTTAAACGCCGTTCATGCTATAATAACTTTCAGACTTAATAGCACTATTTTCTCTGTGGTTTTTATTTTTCATTTTTATCCTAAAAAGTGCTTTTTATGATACAACAAAATTTTTGGCCCTTCCTCTACTATTCAAGCAAAAGTAAAATTCTTAACCATGAAAACATTGTTCATATTGACTATTTTTTCTATTCTTGCAGGGGATGATTTGAACCTTTATCAGATATTTCACAAATATAGATCTTTTTTAGCTCTATCAAAGAAAATTGGTAAAACTTGCTAATTAATATATTCTTGTTAGTGTGACTCAAATATGGACTTAAACCAAGAGTTTTCTATATTGGATAGAATTGGCTGAGATGATTCTTTTTTATTAGAAATATAAATGAGAACCTATAATATTTTATGGTTTAACATGGTATCAGAGCCATACAAACCCTAACCTCCACAAACTTAAATCCTCACAAAACCCTAGCCCCCAATCTATTACCATCAAACTCTGTCTTCTTTCTTTTTGTTACTATTTACTTTGAATAGTAAGTGGTCAACTACTATTCTTGACAAATAGTGACGCTATAACTGCTCTCTGTGAAGAGTATCGTCTTTACTTTATTGTTCACCGTGAACAATGCTTTGCTTCGTGTTCACTCTGTTTTTTATGCTATTATTGATAGCAATAGTCATCCCTAATATACATGTTCTTATTATTGCCTATGCCACCGTGATTAACCTTCATTCACACTGCCTATGCAACTTGTCGACACTATCGTTGTCACCGTTTGTCTTCTAGAAACTTTAACTATCATTAACTACTGGAAAGAAAGTTTGATTGAATCAAGATTTGCTTTGATGTTTGGCTAGAAGAAGGTCATTTTCTCAGCTTTATTTATTTTGTGGATCCTTAAAGAAGGATCAAAAAATTTGACAGATCCCTAAAGAAGGATTGTATATTTGGTTGATCTATGATGATGATCGTTTCTTTAATTGATCCCTAAAGAGAATTATTTATTTGGTTAATCCCTAGATAGGATCGTTAATTTATTTGGCTGAATCGTGAAGAAGATCGTCTATTTCGTTGATGCATGGAGAGGATCATTTGTTTGGTTGATCCATGAAGAGAATCATTTGTTTGGTGGAATCCTAGAGAGGATTGTTTATTTGATGGATCCATAGAGAGGATTGTTTGCGCGGTTGGTCCTTGGTGAGGATCGTTTGTTTGTTAGTTTCTCAGTCGATCTATAAAGAAGATCGATGTATCATATTTGGTGATTTCGGTTGAGGTTATTCATGGTGAAAGACTGTAAGCGTCAAAGTGCCCGACGTGTATAGTTTGTAAAAAAAATTCAAAGTGGTGCTAGTATCCATCAGAGAAATAATAATATTTGAGTAGGATAATCTTTTCTTGACCAAGCTGTAACACCAATCTCAAGAAGAGTAGATCAATTTCTAAATATTTACTCCGATACATATTAGTATCACTTTGTTTGTAAAAAAAATATTTAGGAGGCGCATGCTTCTAGAAATTTATTTCTTTCTGTTAATTACTCTTGTTGAAAGAAACCCCTGATTAGTAGAAAGCAAAGAATTAAATAGACATCAAGAATCAAATGTAGAGAGATATCAATTTTATTATCTTTTTAATGTATTACAAAATTAAAGAGAAAGAAGATGTGATCTTAGGTCTCCAGACAATGTTCTGGAGCCCTCCACCCTTTCAAAAATAAATAATACAGAGGACCTTGTCGTTGTTGTTTCAAATTCTAAGTCTCTCCTTCTTTTCAATCTATCTGCCTTTTCTCTATCTTTTCTGTCGTTTCTTTTTATTATTTTTCTCTTTTTTTTTTGAACGGTAAATGAGGTCTCAATTTATAGGTAAGACCAACAAGTTATCGCCAGGTGTTTAAAATGGATTGGTGGGGGGTTATTGTAACTTCCTCATTGAAGCTTCCTTATCAAGATTGTTGCGTTCGTTTATCATAACGAACGTCTTCTTTGCTTTTCATTTCTCAAGTGCCTATCTGCTTATCTTTCATGTTTCTAAAATAAGTGTAGAACGTCTTCTTTGCTTTTCATTTCTCAAGTGCCTATCTGCTTATCTTTCATGTTTCTAAAATAAGTGTAATGGAGAGCATGTATCCCTTCAAGATGTTTCTAAAATAAGTGTAATGGAGAGCATGTATCCCTTCAAGTTAAAATAAGGTTCATATGAGGGTGAGTATCCTCGAGTTAGATTTTATAGTTAAGGCTTATGATCACATGACTTACAAATTTACATAAGGTGTTGTCATCCTCAATTTAATTTTTATTTATATGAGGTACTACACCTCATATTGATTTTGATTTGTATGAGGCATTGATGTCATCCTTAACTTGATTTTCATTTATGTGAGGTACTACGCCTCACATTGATTTTGATTTGTATGAGGTACTATCCCTCACATTAAGTTTTATTGATCAAATTTGATAATTACAAAGAGAATATGTGCCTCTATGAATTAATTAATATGGACACTTACCTTCAATGGTTTAGATTTATATGAAGTACTACCTTCATATTGGTTTTATTTACAAGGCTTGTTGAGCTTATCAATTTTGGCAACTACAAGGAGAAGGTGTGTCTGGACGGTCTACCTTTATTTGTTTAAATTTATATGAGGTAATATCCCTCATATCAGTTTTATTTCTTATGAGGTACTATCATCATCACAGTAAGTTTCATCTATAGGGCTTGTTGATACATCATAATTTTTTTTGTATCTACAAATTGCCCCCCTTGGCTTACATGCTCGGTTTTTTTTAACCGAGTACGTGAGTCCAAGTTTTTTTCTTCTTCTTCTTTTTTAAATAAAAGGCTTAGGATTAGCTCACTTAATGCAAATATGAGGAGTCATTATCTAATTAAAATTACTAAATTAATTTGAGATAAAATCCAATTTAAAAAATGATATCA